CGGAGTTTCCCACAGATGGTTCCGCGTGCGTGATATATTCCACGGTGGGAAAATTATTCACGGCTAAAAAATGTCACGGGGATTTATTGTGACGTTCAACAGTTGCCGCAAACACAGAGATCTGTTCCCACTGGTTTAGCAGTCAACAAACAGTTCAACGGAGCCTAAATACGCCCGTTCAGCAAGAAGTCAGCAGGTCGCACCGGAAAATTGTGTATTTGTCACACTAAAACAAACGCCATGATACATTGTGAACGACAGTTACAAAGTGTGGTTCAAGTTCAGGAAGAATGGTAAATGTGACAACGGATTACAGACACTACAGATGTGGAAGAGGCGACTAGTGCGAGGAGGGCCACGGACAGCCGTCACAACTACTGGCTGGCTGGTGTGTTTAAAGGGCTGTCGGAGCGCGGCTTGTAGGGACAAGGCTGCTGGCATTTGCGTGCTTTGGGACCGAAATATTGGTGGGACCAGCACCAGGAAGGACGTAAACGAGACAACGACCGAGATCGTGAACGTGTTCAATGCTTGTCGACCTCAAGTCCTTGTAGACGACCGGTCAAGGCATCAAATCTAGCTTGAAGTTGCTGGATGCCCGAAAGTGTTGGATCGGAATCTGTGGATTTAGCCTGAGTAGGGTTAGAGGCGGAACTGATACAGTGACTGGAGTAGCTCTCGTGGATTTGTCCGCCATTTGAGCTAACTGCATCGAGCTGTGGCCGGCATCAAAAGCACTTTTGACGCGGGACATGGAAGGTGGATGTCCATCTAGCCATACTTATGCGATGATTTCCACCGCCGACTTTCGGCCGCAGAGAAGATTGCGCACATGTTGAAGCAGTTGTGACGGCGATCTGTCACCGATTTCAACCGTGGTGAAAAAATCCCTCATCATAACCTTTTCAGATTTCTTCGTCACGCTAATGACAGGCGCCTGTGGAGCATCCTGGGGATTTTCTTTGAGGATATCCTCCAACAGATCTTTTCCTGTTGCTACACCACCAGGAAGATGCTGGATGACATGAGACAAACTGGTGGATTTGGAAGTGATACGTCGGGTAATGATAACAGTCTCGACTAGGTGAATACACTCCCTGGGATTGCTGGAATCATAGTCTGTTAAACGAATGCCAATCGCATTCTCCGCTAAACACGATGAACTGAAGTGTGCGTCCATACTGACCGGGCAAAAAATCTACGATGACGTAAAAGGAAAAGGCGAAAATATCGAGTAAGACTCGGGCTCACCAAAATTGCAGTGACCTGGCTGCCCAGAATACTACTTTACCAGGAGTGTGTGGCAAAGAAATAAAAATAATAACGCTAGATGGACCGTACAATAATAAAACGGTCAGATGGTACGGACTCACTAGGGATTGTTCCCTTTAGACTAGTTTGTCGTTGGCCCAGGCCAGGGAATAAATAATCCGGTTGTGAATGTCCATGTGCCTTCTTCTGAATAGTTCTCGCGCCTAATAAGTTACAAAGATAGTCTGAAATGTTTTGATTCCAGAGTTAGCACGTGGAACTTGCGAGTGACCGCTGTAAGCGCGAGCGAACTCAGGAGACTCGAAGCACGTTACGACGCCCGTATTGCGTGAAATCATACCAATGCGCGTCTTTGTAGTTTCTTACATTCAACCAAATACGTTTTTGCAACTAACAGAATATGCAATGTTTTAATGGAAGCAAAAGAACTATACAAACAAAATCGGTCGAAATTTCCGCCCATTGGGAAAAATACTCCATCCCACAAAGCCAAGAAGCCCGAGCAAACCGTCGAAATTTTGCCCATTGGGAAAAATACTCCATCCCACAAAGCCAAGAAGCCCGAGCAAACCGAGCTCTCACGGAACGAAAAAAACCCCCGAGGCGAAAAGCACCCCCAGAAGCTACAAAGGCCGGAAGCAGACAACATCGC